ACAACGACCGGCAACCTCGGCAACCGTTGTCGGCAACCTATGGTCTTTCCCTGACGGTGGACCTTATCCCAGAAGGCGATTAAATTATATTCAGGACGTCGTTCATACTCGTATCTATAGTTACAAATGGCTGCGAGCTCGCCCCATGCCCCAGTGCAAATCTCGCTTCTGCGCGAGAATCCTGTCACTTAACTACACACACCCTGTAACATTCATCGCAAAGCGAGTTACGTTTGTGGGAAAGTAGAATTCTGCCATTTCGCAACAGTCTTAGGGAGCAGCCAAGAAGCAGGAGACGCGCTGTTGTGTGCACGTAAGTGTTGTTGTGGGCATGGCTGTTATTTGAACATTTCCGTTTTCGTCAACTTGGAAAGCGGTAAGGCTACATTCTCTGAATTATGGGTGACCAGTCACCGACGACTCCTGAACCCGCAGGCAATTTGGTACAAATGCCGAAAGAGTACACTTTTTGGTCGCTTAAATTGCTGCAGCTGCGACTAGCATATTCGAGCCCTCTAGAATCCTCGACGCATGAGGGATCCGCTCAATATCCGATCATTCAGGCATCTGCTGCGCCTGGACCAAGATCTACCACGAAGTCAATATTCACCAGAACAGGATTGGCCTAGCAGTTCCATTCTAATTCCAGTGTGCTGGCCGCGTTGACCTCATTAATGGAGTTCATGCCGCAGGAGGAAGAATTTAGAGCGAATCTCGAGAGGGCGATTACCCTCCTGACCCAGCGCAACGAGCTACTGGTCGTTGTGAATTCGGATCCAGACGTTGAGTTCTTCGAGCTGCAATCGAAGGCCGATTCGATGCAAGCAAGTCTCAAACGCAATATTGATCGCCATCCTCGCCGACAAGAAGAAAAATGAGGAGAGAAAGCAGCCAGTGCAGCTGCGGTCAGTATGGAGTCCTTCTGTAAGAGTAGCACACTCTAGTTGTCTATGGAGGTTTCAATTTGCATGAGTGTGATCCAACTGTTCAGAAGCTTGCTTCCTGCCCTACCCCTCCCTTTTCTTACGGAGGGGCGGCTCGGGCTTCCACCCTTTTTGCTTTCCAGAGGCCCTCATGCAGTGAAGGGCGTTTTCGCGCCCGTTCTCCGCCTGCTCGTCAACAAGATCCCCCTAAAAAGATGTGTTACAACTGCGGAAGATATGGCCACTACTCTCGCGAGTACAGGTAAGAACGCAAGCTATGGTGAGTTTCTGGGCGGTGGCATGCGCCGTTATGCTGATTTCTGGATAAGTACGAGACCTTTTCCTTCTTGAAAAATGTCATCCGCGCAGAATATGCGCCGGTATTCTTGTCAGAGCAAGCTTTGACAATCGTGAGGGGCAATGCAAGTCTGCGCGTAGGCATGGGGATTTCGTTCGGGTAATAGCAAGTTTGCCAAAGAGTGGCGCAGTCGCAGTAATTAGGGCATCTAGGGAGGAGAAGGATTAATCCTCTATCAGTGGCTGAAGGAAGGCCCTTTGCTATAGAGGGAGATTACACAGCCGCTTTTGATCTTAAGTCTAGCTACCAACACGTCAGGATCAAACCTAGCTTTTAGAAATATCTTGGCACTTGCAGGGGCATAACGTATAAGTTTGTGGTACTCCCCTTCGGTTATTCTCTGTTCCCGTGCTGTTCACTAAACTATTAGGATCTTTGTTGAGGAAGTGGAGATTAGGCATATACATAGCGGTATACCTCAGCGATGGCCTCTTTTGGTCTGATTTCACACTCGGGGAAGTGGGGGAAGCGTAAGGATGGTCAGAACTGACTTGCGACATGCCAGTTTCTCGACAGCCAAGAAAAATTGTTCCTGGATTCCGTTTCGGAGGATGAC